TTCCTGCAGTCTCACCCTCCTTCAACGTCCTGCAGCTTCTAAATATTGGAAATGTCTGGTAGCAATAATTTGAATAATGTTGTTTTTATGCTGATTTTCATATGGGAAGAATTTGCACAATTCACCAATTGCTTAGAATTCATTTTACTTTAACTCCTTCTCAGCCTCAAAATCCCTCTTGTTTCCTTCCATAAAATAAAATTATCCTTAAAGTGTTATATAAAATATTCATAAAAATGAACCAGGAACAATACAAAATTATTATTTTTATATATCTTGGTTATACAAATTATATAAAAGTATGGAAATCAAGTACTTCCTAGCCCTTATATAAATTGTGTTACATGACAGTGCCTGTTGTTTGCATTCTAAACAAATACACATAACTTTTCTAAATTTTTCGTCTATTTATCCACCTGAATATTTATCATTTTGCAATGCATGAGTTGTTTTCCAACTGCATTCTTTGTGTTCAGCTTCTCTCTCTCTCTCTCTCTCTCTCTCTCTCTGTCTCTCTCTCCCTCCCTCTCTCTCTTGCTCTTTGTCTCTCTCACAAAACTGAATTGACTGTATATAGCAGGATTAACATGGTGGAGCCTAGCATGCAGCAGAATGAAGTTACCATAAGCTGCCATGAAAAGGAAACACTTTGTTGGTTATTTGCTGTGTGTAAATAATATATAAGAATTGTCAACTATTTGCTTCTTTTTAAAAAACAATTCAAATTTTAGAAAAGTAGCACAGATGGGCTGTAATTTCTGGGGAAAGGTCCCACTTCCTTCTTCCTTCTAAGTAGACATGTCTAGAAGTCAAAGTAGATGTGATGCCCAGTTTACATTTAGAAGCTCATAGCACATATTCCCTTCAGCAGCAGGACTCCCTCAGTTGTGGGTCTAAGTAATTTACTTACTAATTATGCCTATGTTTATGTGCTGTTCGACAATCAAAAGCAAAGTAGACCAATTCACAAGACACTGAGGTGGAGAAAGTTCATACTGGGACAAACAAATATATATTAAGATTTAAGAGAGGTCCACTTCTAAATGCTAGCTGTGCACCTGCCCATCCCTGCCTAGCACGTATGACTGTTGTTGCATCCTAAATCCTTATCTTAAATGTTTTATGATATTTGTTATTGTGATGTTTTTATCATGTATGTAAGCCACCCCGAGTAGACTTTGTCTAGGGGGGCAGGGTAAAACTCTAATAAAAGTAAAGTTATCTATCAGTCTGCCTAATTTCTGCCCACCCCATGTATACATTGTTTGTTGTATGTGTTTCTGTCACTTAGAAATATATTCTTATTGACTTCCTACTATTTTGTCATTTTCTTTTATTTCTGTCCCTTTGCCTGTATCTGGGGATGTTTCCTTGTACATAAAACTCACAAATTCCTCTCATTTTTGTGTTTACTGAATTCAATAATCATATACACCTAATTTTATTCCTTCTTTTTCATTTACTTATTTATATGTGTCTGGCATCTTGTCAGCCTCTATTCAAAAATACTTCCCCCCAACCCACATGCCCAGAGAGAGAGAGAGAGAGAGAGAGTAGCCTCTATTCAAGAATACTCCGTCCCCCCAACCCACATGCCCACAGAGAGAGAGAGAGAGAGAGAGAGAGAGAGAGAATCCATTTGTTTCTCTTTTCCTTTGACCATTGTAATCTGCTCTTTCTGAGATAAAGGTTCATGCTTTGGACCACTTTCATGATTTAGTCTCCTACTCCCTTGGAATCTGCACATCTCCACCCCGTTCTCTCTTCCTCTCACCACCATATTCTTTCCCTTTCTGTTGCATGGTTGTGAACTCCAACATGCTGTTGCTCATCATGATAGTCTCCATATCCAGGCCCTCCCAAACAGAATACTGTTCATTCTTTGTCAGACAGCAGTACATTGCACAAACAGTTGCAGTTTACCAGCTTGTACAAGCAGGTATTGCAGGTTATCTTCTTGCAGAAACTCAGAAGCTGTCCAGCCCCTTGCACAATGGACGACTGCATGAGCAGTGAGAAGAAACTGGGTCCCTAAAATCCAGGCAGCTGTGTTGAACTACATCAAGGAACAAATTCAGACAGTTTCATCTCCACCACAAGTGGGTCTTTTATAAAATGAATGGGTCTTGTCTACTTGACACCAATGCCACTTCCCCAGAAATTTGCATCACAAGAGGGAAAGCTCACAATCCTGTACTGTTGCTAAGAAAGTCCATTCTTTTCAAACCTGTGAGGATTGTGACAAAGTTCTGAAGAAGCAGGGAAGCATAAGTGGAGTTCCACATTATCATTTCCCTGCTGCTCTGATGCCCAAAAAATGTTGGTGCTTCAAAATATCTCTGCAAGGCGTCACTTTACTCCATCAGTACATTCTCTCTTTAGATCTGACATATCAGGTTTGGCACAGTTTACTGTCTTCTTGACTCTTCTACATTTTAATCTTACTTTCTTAATTCTATCATTGCAGAATTTTTGAAATTTTTTTCCTTTCAGTGATAGGACAAAGTTTCCCTCCCTATTTTATAAAGCAAAAGCAAAGTGTGCTGCTTATATACCACTCCATAGCGCTTGTAGCACTCTCTGGGCAGTTTAGAATTTAATTATGCAGGCTGCATATTATAGATTTCATTGAGAACTATGTTGTTGTGTTATGCATTATGTGTTATGCATTGCATTACAGCTCAAAGACACTTAAAAGTCAATGTAAAGATCACCCTGAATCTCAACAAGAAAATCCCTCTAATAATGAATCTGAGAAAGAATGATATATGTAGCACTCTCTGGGCAGTTGAGAATTTAATTATGCAGGCTGCATATTATAGATTTCATTGAGAACTATGTTGTTGTGTTATGCATTATGTGTTATGCATTGCATTACAGCTCAAAGACACTTAAAAGTCAATGTAAAGATCACCCTGAATCTCAACAAGAAAATCCCTCTAATAATGAATCTGAGAAAGAATGATATATGTGATCAAACCAAGAGACAGAGTCCATGAAAGGTTATTAAGGGGGCCTCACTAGCAGTGCATGTTTATAAACAAACATGGCATCGCAACAGCAAATATGTAAGTTGTTCTTAATTCAATTAATCAGCAACTACCACGAGGCAGTGATTTAATATTGCAGTGGTTTGATATGTGGGCGTTAGCTATAGCTGTTAATAAGAAAACAGGAATAATAGGTTTTCTTTTTCATTTGCACTCTCCTCTACTGTGTCTTCTGTCTCTTTCTCTTATGCCTGATGAAGTGGATTTCTCCATGAAAGCTCACATAAAAAATATTAAAAGTTAGTCTTTAAGGTGCCACCACATTTTTGTCTCTCTTTTTTAACTTCTTATTTTAATGTTGTTTTTACCTATAATGCTTGCACAGATTAACACAGCTACCCTTTCTACAACTTTCGTACCCAAGACCTTTTTTCCTAGAGAATGGTGGTGCACAGTTTCCAGATCACTCTTGCTCTACAACTGTAATCATTTCTTCACTGATTAAAATAAACTCAACGGTCTCTACCTCCCAACCATCTACACTGCTGTCTAGCTCATCTGTGTCTGTAGCCCTTACAGGTTCCCTTTTCTCCAGGTGCCGCTGAGAGGTTAGAGAGAGTGAGTGAGAGAACATATGGTGTGTATGCATATCTGATAGGGGCTTTGAGAGAATGGAGAGATGGGGGAGAGGCGATGGCCTGGTGCAGAAGAACCTGCTGAAGCAAGAGTTTATGCCCGATTTTGCATTAAAAATAGTCTTTCTAATACTTTGGTTAGCTGGATGTTGCAGGTTTCATTTGAGTGCTAAAGTACTGCATGTGTTCATGTTACATTGTAGAAGAAAATAGGGTCTCAACTAACATATTTTGTGTTAGTCTCATCTGTTTCTACGCACACTTCTGACTACCATTCTCTGCCTTCCACCACACCAGCTAAAATAGGCAATCAAGTGCCACTCCATGAACATTGAATCTCATCCAGCAAAGTTGCCATCACATGAACCTCTGGCTTGAAAAAATGTTCAGATGGATTAAATTAAATGAGCCAAAATTTAGAACACAATGGCCAGAATCCTGTTAAACTTTAACACTGTAGTGCATTTGGCATAAATTTCTGCAGCAAATTGCCACAAATTAAGATATCAGCTGATAAGATATATGCTGATAAGAGACGTTGCATGTAATAGCAAGTGCTGCACTGACTTTTTAACTGGTGGCAATTCCGTACTGTGATTTATGCCGACTATGCTAGCAGGTATAACTTCTAGTCATCCTATTTGTTCTTGTTCCTAAACAGAAATAAATAACTAAATAAAAATGACTAGCTATATAGCAAGGATCCCACTTTTAGTCGGAGCAGCAAATTGTTGATAGTAAAGTGTTACATATTTCCTTACATTCCTAAAACAAAACAAAATAAATCACATAGAATAGAAATATTTAAATAATTTCTTTGGATGACCTGCCTGTCAAAGCATGAATTCTAAACTTCTGTGTCACCTGTGGTATCCTGAGATTGCATATTGGAGAGAAAATACAAAAGATATTACCTTCCCCAAAAGGATAAGCCACAGTTCACTATTTTCATAGTGAACTGTGAGAGTTATGATTTTTTCTACTGTTTTAATATTCTTTCAGCATAACTGTTTTCAGTGTGGATTTTCACTGCTTGACATGCTAATATTACATTACAAAAGATATTTTAGTTCTGTTATATAACTTAAGGTCAACTTTCTTTTCATCAGGCATATTATGGCTAGACATATGTGCTCCTCTAATGAATTCACATCATCCCATAAATTCATGCTAACTGGTCACTGACTGTGTCAAGAGTACAGGTGATAATTCTTAGAAGTTGTCTTTGAACTGAAAGGGCGCACTTCCCCATCTCGCAGGGAGCACTTAGGTTTCAACGATGGCTGATTATCATACACTAAAACATCTATGCCTGCAATGAGACTTCATACATTTTGTAAATACAAGGGATAGAGGGGGCAGAGGAAAGCATTACCTTTGATGTATACATATTGGTCAATAAATCAGCTTCTAAGGCTTTCATTTCCTCTTCTGAATCTGCAAGTTAATGAGAGACATATGTTTACTATTTCATTATAAATCACTAACATTTGGGTTTCAACGCATAAGATTTAGGGATATCCTTTAAAGAGATTTTAGGGTTAAGCACTGGCTAAAATAAATGCTTGGCTTGTGTTTTGTTCTTTAATATACACTCCTTGATTTATACGGTCTCTCTGGGAAAGTACAGTTTAGTCACAAAAGTATCTTATTGGTCAACTGAAGCATTTCAGAGCACACTGTTCAGCATAGAACATGGAGAGTAAGGGTGGAAGCTAGTGATTTTGTCAGATGGGACCAGGTTTATTGCATTAATTATTTGAAATGCCCACTCCATTTATCAAGTGTGAAAAGTGAAGAGGTCACTCTACAATTTTTTTTAATTCTACAGTTTTGAATGGTTTTAAGCATCGTTTCAACACTTGGACACCAGCTAACAGGCACATTTTGCTGTTAAAATATGGCAATATTCAGGAACTATAAATGAAGGTTTATATAGGTCTATATTACTTTCTGAACAACAAGGATGAATAAAATGGAAAGAGAGTGAAGGTTTATATTGAACAATTGTTTTCATGTAAATATAAGTATCCTCTGGTTGTCAGCAAGTCTTGAAATTTGTTTGATGGAGTGAATCATAAAGATATATTCCCTACAGAAGAAAATTTAGTTGTATTTCAACCAACCAAACAAGCAAATAAAATGAACAATCCATAGCTAAGGTTAGCTGTGTCCAAATCTGCAGTCTTACGCATTCTAACTGTTAACCAGTTCTCTTTAACCAGTAGGACATGGAAATAAAAACAAATGGAATCAAAGTTCTGGGATCCAAATGTAGACCTGTTTGAAATAAACCACTTGATATAGAATTAAGTCAATTATAGTTTAAAACTCTTGTAGATTTTTATGGAGCTAGTTATAAATGAGCCTAGTTCCATTCACATGACCAATATATTGATTCTTTTCATAGGTTCACAAACATCTATTCTGAAACAATTCTAAATTTATTCAAAAATCTGTCTAATACTGGTATCAATAGGCCTGTCAGAAGAATTATTTGTAGTTGCAAGCATTATCTGTTTAAGCCGTTGACCAGATTAAAAAAAACTAAATGGACTGTTATTTTGGAATGAAGGAACAGAGTTTGATAGAAAGTAACACAAATGAAATGTAAATTCTCTCTCTCTCTCTCTCTCTCTCTCTCTCTCTCTCTCTCTCTCTCTGTGCGTGTGTGTGTGTGTGTGTGTGTGTGTGTGTGTGTACATGGGACTAATTTTTAAAAACTTTACCAGGATGTACCACCTTGTAAAAGGGAAAAGGCCATCAATAAAATACGACTGAGAAATATTTAGAACTTTTTAAAGGTAGAAATGAGGATGTGGTAACAGAATACAGAACAGTAAAGTACAACTAATAATAGCAGGATAAAGGTTCATGGGGACAGAATCCAAAAATGAAACATCAAAGAAAAAAAGAAAGTAGCAGTTAAAGTGTAACGACTTACACATGATGATATGGCTGCTAAAACTGCATTTCTGTTCTGGACGGATAGCATCCTGTTAAATGCAGAAGGCTATATCCAATTGTTAATCTTGACAAAAATATACACATTAATGAAATTTTGATAAGTCAGTACTTGTGGAAGCCCCACTGACTCAGTGCAATTACCTAGTTGGAAATAATAGCCATATGATTTAGCCAAAAAAGTTTTTAAAATCATATAAGTGCCTCTATAAGCTTGTTGCTGCATTTCCTAGGATCTATTGAAAGGAATTACAGTCTTTGAGAATAGTGTGCTCCAGTTTACTTACTACCCAGTGGTAACTACAAAAATAAATCTAAGAAGCCCCATAGATAGCACAGTACAACATTAATACCAAATGTATGATGCTTTCCAAGTTTTCTGTGGATCACAATGGATATTGATCCAGTGAAAGCACTTTTAGAAAGCTCCTTTAAAAATAGCCAAGTTTTCTGTGGATCATAGTGGATATTGATCCAGTGAAAGTTAAGCACTTTTAGAAAGCTCCTTTAAAAATAATCTTCCCATTTGAAATCAGTAGAATTTAAATGTGTCATTGGCTTCTAGACTATGCTGGGGCTGATCAGACAGGAAGAATAACAGTGCTGTAGGACCATGGAATAAATGTGTTTTTATTATGTCAGTGATTTTCCCTTCTGTTAAAAACTAGGGCTGTTTCACTTGTTTGTCCTGTGCTATGGACAAGAATCTACTATTAGAACAGAATACAGAGAGACAGAATGGCTTCCTATAGGCAAAAGAGAGACAGAATGGCTTCTTATAGGCAAAAGTGTCAGAGAAGGGTGTATTTCATCCCCTTGTCTGTTCAATCTAGTCATATGGACTAGATTCAGATGAGAAGGAGCATCAATAATTTGAGACATGCAGATGACACCAAGCAGCAATGACTTGAAACAACTTTTAGTGAAAGTGAAAGAAGAAAGTGTCAAGGCAAGACTGCAGTTGAACATTAAGAAGAAAAAACTCTTGACTACAGAAGAACTGCACAATTTTAATGTTGACAGTGAAGAAACAGAAGTAATGAAAGATTTTGTATACCTTAGTTCAATCATAATCCAAACGGAGACTGCAGCCAAGAAATCAGAAGAAAGCTGAGACTCAGAAAGGCATCAAAGAAGGAATCAAATAGATAATCAAATGTAAGGATGCATCATTGGAGACCAAGGCCGAGATCATCCACACTCTTGTGTTCCTGATCACCATGTATGGTTGTGAGGGCTGGACAGTAAAGAAAGCTGACAGGAAGAAATCTGATTTGTTTGAAAGATGGTGCTAGAGGAGAACTTGCAGATACTCTGGACTGCCAGAAAGATGAACGAGTGGGTTCTAGAGCATATCAAACCTGAAGGCAAAAGTGGCGAAAACTATACTGTCCTATTTTGGGCACATCATGAGAAGGCAAGATTATTTGGAAAGGACAAATAATGCTGGGAAAAATTCAAGGCAACATAAAAAAAGCAGAAGACCAAATACAAGACAACTGAGTTTGCAAGAGCCAAGCAGGACTATTGAAAACAGGACATTTTGAAGATCTTTCATTCACAGGTTGGAGGTGGCTTTGACAGCACATAACAATGACAACAAAAGGTTATTTCAAGGTACACCACTGTCATTTCAATGGCAGCTGACATTACTTCTCCCTTCTTCATTTTTTTACACCTTTAACAGTACAGTTGATCCTGTACTGGATCAACATTTTTTTGGTAAAAGTTCAGTTAATTTTATTTCCATCAGTGGACTCAAAATATTTTACATCCATGTCCCTCTGCTTATTGAAGTTGTCAACTGGTGTCTGTAATATCTCATAGAAATTTAACAATGCCAACAGATTTTAGTATTCAATATATATTTTTTCTGATAGAATCCATCAATATATTGTATTCCACTTTTTAAAAATGCTAGATATAACCCTAAAACCAAAATACAAAAATAAGACACATTGGGTACAGCTTAGCACAGCATTAAGTATGTTTAAATCTCACTGGTCTCAAAGATACTACTGTACCTGTATTGGAACTGAATTCTAGATGGTGGCTTTTGACTTCAATTAAGTCTGCACAGATTTTTACTTAGTGTTCAACTAAGGCATTAGCATTTCAATTTGAGATTGCAAAAGTGTCTTTTAGTCCTGCCTTGTACTCTCATCTTCAAACCTGCATTACACAGTTTTGAACTGGACAAGGAAAAGCTGATTTTGTGTTGTGATGTTATATCTATAGGATTTCTCTAGACTGATCCCTGAAATATATTTGCCTTGACATTCTTCCAATTCCCTCCTTTACTATGATCTGTTGCTGCTTCTCAAGTACTGTACATCCAGAATAGTGCTCTTGACCCACTAGGCTTCATGGGGGTAGAAGGAGGAATTGGTGAATTTGGTTGTGGACCGATTGGAAGGATATAGTTTGCTTTCTTAGCGAAGTCCCCAAATTTTAGAAAGAAGCTTCTCTTTCAGCTCTGCACCCCTTTAAAAAAGCAACTAAACAAGTAGCAGTACGTTCATATGCTATTTGTTCTTAAAATGATCTTCTATAATAATTACTGCATTTTGCCAATAGGGAACTGAGTTACCAAGCAAGGAACTACTCAACTAACAAGCCACAATAGGAGGATCTCAGCAAAGCAAACCAACAAGTATACAGCTCAGAGGAGCTGAAAACCAAGTTTTTCATCTAGGAGAATAAGCCAATTTCTAGTTTAAACTGTAGTGGAGGATTTTAGTTATGCTCAAGATTAGACAGAAGGTGGATGCTCCTAATTCCCATGAAATCCACAATATCAAGAACAGTGAAAAGCTTAAAACAGACAAAACTTTGCAGTTTAGCCATGTGCTAATCACTGGTCCAGAGGCTGTTTTCTTCATCCTGAAAATATCCGTATTAATATGTTGCCTTTCAAAAGGTCTTTCTGCTGCGCTCCTTGACACCAAACGTTTTGTGTTCAGATCTGTACCTCCAATCAGTAATTCTGCTGAAAGTTGATATATGTGTAATTTAAAAAAAAACGAATAAGGCTCGTCAGGGCACAGGGAGGAATTCACTCCAGTCCACCCCCTCCATTATTCTGCACCCACTGCTGATTTGTGGACTCTGGGGTTCAAGCAAAATACAAGGCAGGTCCCCTGAGCCCTTGAGACAAAGAATCAGCTTCCCCGCCTCTCCCCCGCAAGGGTGAGAATGAACACGGTGGTGCCTCATGCCTCCCTAGCGTTACATGTTATACGCTGATCTACAAAAACCTTTCCGTAGATTTGTAGACGACGACCATGGCTGGAACGGGATCAGTTGGATTTATATGGGATCAACTAGCAAATCAGTTGAGGCCACTGTGTTATACTGCGTTTATAAAAACCGACAGTCCTTCGGATACAGATGATCGATGCACGAGATGCAAAGGGCTGCTCGGAAGACAAAAAGAAAAAGGATGGCCAATAGGCGAGACAGCTCCTGACCTCCCTCCTTAACACAAGCAGAGTTTCCCCGGGGAAAGCGCACAACTTGGGTTCTCAGACCCACGCTGCTGCACTGAGCGACCTCCGTGGAACTGCTTCCCCCTAACTAACTCTCGCAGGGGACTAGCCCGCTGTCCTCGGCTTTCCCCCTGCAAACAAACGCCTTCCATCCTACTTCTCGCGCTGCCCGTAGAGCCAAAAAAGGAAAAAAGAAGAAGGGGCAAAAAGCCGCCCACCTTAGTCTCCGAGTCCGGCCCTCAAACAGGCAGCCGTTCGTGGGAAACTCGTCGGTCAGACGGGAGCAGTGGCGAGTTCGAAGCCGGCCCTCTTACCTGAGCAGAAGCTCCAGGAGGCGGAGGCGAGCAGCATCGCGCACACCAGCGGCAGCCGCATCATTCTGGCCATCTTCTGGGTCTCTCTTTCTCTCCCCGTCTAGAAAGTCAAGTCCATACAACCAGGCGGCAAGCGGCGGGGCAGGCGGGGATGCGCACGGGAGGCAAGAGGGAGAGAGAGAGAGAGAAAGAGACGGGGAAAAGACCGAGCGAGGGACGCGCTCACACCGGCGCCCGGCAGAAGGGACAGCAGACCTTCCTCTTGTCAACCGTCTGGACTTGATCTCCAACGATCCGGACCCATGAAGGAGCCCTGGATGGGTCCCTATGTATATAAGCAAGCCAGGGACTGATGTCACTGAGGGACACGAAACGCCCGCCAGTCGGACCGCTCCTCCTCCCCCCCCACCCCCCACTTTGGCGGCATGAAATTGACGCGATTCACTAATTGCGCGGCGCTGCTTCGTCCTTCTTGACGCAGAGAAAAAGAGGGGGGGCGCCCAGAGAGGAGGGGGCGATGCTGGCTAGCGCTAATTCCCCCCATTCCCCTCCTTTCAGTAACTCTGAGCCTTGCATCCCTTCTCCAGCTGTAAATCTCGCTTTCGGAAGGGCTTGGTCCTTCAAAGTACGTGCGAATAGAAAATTCCTTCCTTCCTTCCTACGGTTCCCAGGATGGGTATTGAGCATGGGCACCTTATAGGTTTAGTTAGAACATGTAGACACATACAGATACATGTTTCGATGGGTCACTTGAATCCAGAGCGAATGGGGGGAAAAGGGTGAGCCCAGCTGCATAATGATTTGGAAAGGGCAGTGTGGAGTTAAAATACAAGGGGAAAACACACACAACAGTGCTACAAATATATGTGTGTATAATTCTTCCTTCTAGAAATTCAGAGTAACCTACAGTGCTGTTTCCCCTCCCACTGTATACCCAGGTTAGTCAAACAAGCAAATATAAGATACAGTTGCTGGCCCAAAGTCACCCAGTGAGGTTCATTGCTAAAGGGGATTTGAATCCAGATCTTCCTGGGTTCATGTGCATAACTCAGTGGTTTAAATATCTGGTTATGGAGCCGGAGATTGTGCCTTCTTGGCAGGACCTGGACTTGATGATCCATAGGGTCCCTTTTAGCTTGCAGTTCAAAGATCATCCTCACTAATTGGTCCACAGCACCCACCTTGTTACACCCCATTGGCCCACACCTGCTTGGACAAGTAATGATGTTTCGACCTAGAACTTCCTCCATTTTCCCACACATAAATCACATCATGTCACATAGCTGTATTATGGTAACAACACACAGTATCGATAGTTTGCCTCAATAACTCTTATTTTCATTATTTTGTACTTTCCAAAGCTAAACTCCAACAGCAATTTAGTACAGTCAGCCATAACCACAGTGGAGATCTGCATTTAGATAGGAATGCTTTTATGAGTGGGACCTGAAAGAGGTTTGAACAGTATGATCTTTGTGGTGGGACTTAAGTATATCTGAGAAATGAGGTATACAAATCCACAACGTATTGACTATTGGTAGGCTCTTCTGGCTCCTTGATAAAAGGGATATGTTTTGTATTTCCTCTGATGCATTCACACATTTTATTATCTTGCTCAGCCCCCCCCCTCTATATATATATATAGAGAGAGAGAGATCTTCAAGAAAATATACAATATACTATACAATATACTATATATATTCAAGAACATATACAATAACATTTAACTGTATCTGCCCCTCTCCCAAGGCAGCCCATGAGTTTCTCAGAATATGTAGCAATGGCATTAATTACTTTTGAAATAATTAGGCAGAAGGGAACAAATCCAAATGTTCTATGCTTTCTAATTTACAATGCAAACCCAATGTGTCTACTCAGAAGCAAGGACCAGTGGGATCTGTTCTCAGGTGAGCATGCATGGGATGGAGCTTTAATGCATATATGAATATGTTCAAACTTCATTAGGAAGAAAGAACCAAAACACTGAAGAATGATTTAATAATGTGTGACTGAACATGAAAACCCGGTTTTTAAATAGTCTGAAACAGTGAATGAACAGAGCCTGGATCAATGTACTGTAGTGTAGATTTCAGCGTAAAGTCTCTCCAATTTTCTGCCTTTCTTCCATTAGGGGGTGCAGTGGAAGTATGAGAAAAAAATGTCTCCATGAAATGCAAGCTTGTTCCTTGAGCTTATTGTACAAAATCAGCCTTGATGACTTCCGCGTGTGGTGGATCATTGACTATGCAACAGATGCTGCTGACACGTTTCTCGCTTTTGCCTGCATTTTCCTATAACCTATTTGTTTTAGAGCCTACACAGCAAGCAGAACAATCATTTGACAAAGAAGCAAATAACAGACTATTCTAGTGTTAGGGAGGAACATGGGCCAAAGTGGGAAAAGACAAAGACTTAAGCTTGGACAGCGTGTTTTCTTTCAAGTGCAATTTCCTGACCCCCACGAGACCCCACTTTGTGAAGGTGAGGTTAGAAATGAATATTGCAAAGGTACACACATACACCTGAGAGTAGGACTTCATCTGCATGGCACAAGTATAGCAGTCTGATACCATGATAACTGCTGTGGTGATTTGGTAAAGTACGTAGAATTCCAAGTGTTTTATTCAAAGGATTTTATCAGAGCTCACTAGCAAAGAATTCTAAGTACCTCACCAAAATGACAGTTCTTAATCTTCCATTGTTCGGTCGTTTAGTTGTGTTTGACTCTTCGTGACCCCATAGACCAGAGCATGCCAGGCCCTCCTATCTTCCACTGCCTCCCGGAGTTGGGTCAGATTCATGTTGGTTGCTTCGGTGACACTGTCCAACCAATTAATTAATCATGTGTCATCAAGTCAATTCTGATTTATGGTGACTGTTTTCAGGGTTTTCCAGGTATATAACACTCAGAAGTGGTTTACCATTCCCTTCTTTGGGGGGACATCACAAGTCTACACAGCTTGCCCTGGGCCACACAGGCTGACTCTACACACAGGATGCACAGTGGAGAATTGTACTCCCAACCTCTGGCTCTGCTAAACCACTGAGCTATCCAGCCAGCTATAGGATGGGTACAGGGGAATTAAACTGCTACAACTGTGCAGTGTAGATACACCATGAGTCTTACTGGGTAAAATCCTGTTCATGCAGGTGTGATTTAAAGTTACACCCATGTAAATGTGCCAGGTAGTGCACCCTGCAACAAGGAATCATGCAATTCCATTGCACAATTGGTTGCATGATTTCCATTGCCACCATTGTGTAATGCACCTGTAGAAGTATGGATAACACTTCTGCCTTAGCACTTTTATAGCTACTATGGATGTAATTTCAAGTTGCTCCTTCATAGCTAAGTAACAGGATTTTGCCCACTAAATTCACTTGGTTTTGCTTCTGAGTAGACATGCATAGGAGCAATATATAGGTGATAACCCTACATGCAATTGCCCAGGGATTAAGTCCCACAGACTCTGTTGGAGTTTATAGTGGAGTTACTATTTCCATAAAAATGGAGCAGAAATGGGCATGGTGAGAGTCACCATAAAAAACTGTAGAGCAAAAGATCTTATTTGTTTGTTCTCTTGAACACATGGCATTGAGAACAGGACCATCCTGACCTGAAATGTCCTCACCTTCCTCCGCTTGCTGAGGTGATTTTGTTTAAAAGGCCTCTGTGTGTGAACAGCTGTATGCACACATGGACTTCCATCACATCATAAAGTAAATGGAGAAAGGTTAATTTCAGTATTGCCACAACAGATCAAATGGATGCTGAGAAATGGAGAGCTGATGTGATTTATTTAAAGCATTGTCAGTAATTCACAATCTGAAGCAGCTGATAAGGGTCTAATCATGTAGAGAGCACAGGCCAGCAGGATCCTATTTTTTTCCAAATGCAGTCCCATTACATTCAATGAGGCTTACTCTTAAGTAAGTGGATGAAGCATTGGAGTCTAAGGGTGCTTCAGGGCAGAGGGCTCCTACATCGTTTAGTCGTTTCTGACTCTTCGTGACCCCATGGACCAGAGCAGGCCAGGCCCTCCTATCTTCCACTGCCTCCTGGAGTTGTGTCAAATTCATTCTGGTAGCTTCGATGACACTGTCCAACCATCTACAGTTCACAATAAAAAGGCATTGTGCAACTATTCCCAGGGTTCCCCCTCCAACAGATTTTCTTGGGGTGGGGAGGAAGCTGGAAGAAAAAGGGAAATTATGGGAATGCTATAAACTGATGAGGGTACTTTCTGGATGTTCCACAAACTACCATGAATGAGGTGTGTTCTTCTTCTGACTTATGGCATCCCTGTGAATTAGTAGCTTCTTAAACATGCTGTCCTTAACAGCCCTGTGCTAGTCTTACAAACTCAAAGTTGCGGCTTCCTTTATTGAGGAAATGTGACTTCACCATGAAAACCTTATTTGAAAGCAGAAAGCAGACTTCATTTCTCAGCTGGGTTTCGCTTAAGTCTCCTATATACCTTTTCTCCTCAAAGCAGCAGAGGTCTCTGCCACATTCAGTCATTTATTTAAATATTAATATTTATTGGCACAATATTAAAATCAAATGTCTTCCAATAGTATCTAATGATAATAATGAATTCACCTACTGGAAACAAATTTCCCACAATTATTAGATAACAAAATATATGGCTACTTGGTGTTTTTCTCTCCTGTCATTTCTTTTTCCTATTCCCGTAGGTCAAAATTAGCCATCTTTACTAGGTTAAACAAACAAAAAGAGCACTCATACTCTTGAGACTAAGACCTTCTTATGGGACTGTGCAGCTTGCCCAAGGTCACACAGGCGGGCTCTACTCACAGGAGGCACCGTGACGAATTGAACTCCCTATCTTTGGCTCCACAGCCAAATACTTAAACCACTGAGCCACCCAGCCACTGTTCATGCACACTTAACATGGAAGTAAATCTGCACTGAATACCAAAAGGTGTATTTTGGAATAAATACACACAGGATTGTATTGCAAAAACCTTTAAACAAGACTACAGTGGTGCCTCGACTTATGAACTTATGAGACAAATCTAGGAAAATATATGCTTAGATCAAGGAGGCTAGCAATAGGTAATAGCTATTACTGGACTGTCTAAACCTATGGAGAGTGCCAGATTGTGGAAGACCACTTCAGAATGCTGAAAGCAGCACATACTGTAAATGCAGATGACAATGACAGACACAGCAGTGACAGTGACAGTGTATGTATGAGGAATTGTGATTTGCATATAAATACAGCTTAACTTTCTATGATAATTATTAATAATAAGTAACTACAACATTTCATTTTGCATGGGTTAAATTATACACCAAAAGTTGGATCTCACATTGTGAAATTGATTGACTATGCATATCATTTTCTATCACCTTTAGGC